ATAATAAAAATAATAAAAATAAAAAAAAAAAAATAAAAGTAAGCGTGATAGTTGGATCATGAATAAATGGATCATTTCATTAACGTGATAGTAGTCACGTAGCTGCTCGATCTATCGATACCCTGGTACCTGATCTTTCGTCGAATTGCTTTCCGGCTTAATCGGAGTAATTGCATTTCGAAGGAAAAACACGGTGGACCGACACGAGGGCCCAGTGACGTAATGAATGCAATATTTTCAACCGGCCGAACAATAAACCGCGTTTTTTCCTCACATGCCGGTGACCAATCGAAGGAGCGCGCGTAATTTCGCAATCGATTATCTTAATGATCCGTTTCCGCGTGGCTCCACCTACGTTGCCCGATCCGCCGTGCGCGACGGCACTCTGATTTCTTGGATAATCGGCCAATTGTAAAACATCGCGGAAATCGTGCGTTACGCAACGCTGTACGAATAAAATGGCAAATGGTAGCGAATAAACAATCGGGTGGGTGAAAAACGCACGGCCATTGTGCTTAAATATCGCGCTGACCTTCTAATAAATCGCGATACGGCACACACCTTGGATGTACTCGATCTCGCGATTATTCCGGCAATTCCGCTTAAACATAACGCACTCGCCAACGTCCGCTATAAATAATCGCCGATATCGTTGTTAACGAATGCAACATGCACGCCATCGACGCGAGATTAATGAATTAATAAATGAACAGCTGCAGTTACCAAAGTTGATGTACGATCGAGAGACGAGGCAGGTGCGATTACAAGTGTACGTAGTCACGCGGAAAAAGGGGCCTCGTATTTTTATTTCTTTCTTTTTCCGTCTCTTTTTCCCTTCCGAGTGCGTAAACGAGTCGTAAACAAATTAACAAGCGCGTGTTCGTAAGTCGGAATTATAAGCCGATGTGTATCGATTGATCGATGACTGGAATTACCGTGCGTTCGAGGATGCTCAAGAACGAGGTTCGGTGTTCCGTGTAATGGCCGATTAAACGAGAAGCGGTGCATCGAGATAGGCCGCATTCCACGCTCTAACTCGCGTATGATGAAACGGGCATTAAGTTTCCTATACGTAAGACAGGGCAAGAGGATCTGACTTCCGTGCAAGTTTGTATCGCGGTAATTGCTCCTAATACCATCTTTCGGCCCTAATACCGCACGAACAAACTGAAGAAAATTATGGTATGGAAATTCAATGAGCATATTTACATCGTTCGACCGCTGTGTCTCGAGTGGAAGGAAGCTTGCTTCCTTAATGGACGGTTATTACGAAGAAAACAATATTTCGAAAGGAAAACTTGCCCTCTGGCGGCGAACGCGAGTACCGCTGTTAAATTATCTTCGCACGATCACGGAGGTTAGAACGATTAATTCGTCGAAATGTTATAGAGATACTTTCTCCCATAACCTCGTCGTACGAACGTTCCTAAACGCACGAATCTGTCAACGCGAATAACAGGCGACCGTATGCAGCGATCGAGCTGCACTCTAGCTTCGGTTGCCAGAAATAATCCACGGAACAGATTCAGGGGCATGCGCGCGCAGCTCGAGCAGCGCGAGAATTGCTTTCGAAAATGTTTACCAGCATTAACGACGCACGTAAGCCACGTGCTTCTGCCTCGAAACGTTCTTAATGGTATCGCGTGTATCTTTTTCACGGGGATTACGTAAGTCCCTTTGCGAGAGCTCGATCCGTCCGCGAACACCTTATTCGCGATTCCGAGCACGTAGCTCTTTAATACCGCTTCGAATACTTAATCCATCGTGAAATCTCGCGTCGAACAGTTGGCACTGACTTCCTCTAAACCGCGATATCGCTAGTTACATCGACGGGAGAAAGGGGAAAAATTGTTCGTGGCACAATCGATATCGATATTCGGTGTCATGGCGGTACGAAATCTCTCGAACGTGTTCGAGAAATTGCCGAGAAATACATCGCGTTAGAGAAAAAAAATATTCTCGGATTCACTTACCCGGAACGATACCGCATGATTAATCGACATAGGTGAACAGGAATTCGTTGGTGGCACTCACCTTTTCATCGAGGTTGTTAAGATTCGGCAACTGAAACATAAACATTCGAATCGGGTTAGTTTTGCAATCGCAGCTATTTCGCAATGGCTACCACGAAATGGGGTTAACGTACCACGATCAAGAATTCTCGTATATCATAACGAAATCAGGGTCGTAGACGAGGTGAACGGGAGAGGAGAGTTACCTCGGTGGCCGGTATAAATATTATGAACTCGCATGTCGATTAACATTCGCGAATCGTTAATCAATCTCGATCGCGGCACGAGCAACGACAACGGGAAACACACGTGACCGTGAACTGGAGAACGAATTCGAATTCGCTCGAAGCCGTGGCGTTGCGCCATCTGGCGACAATTTCGGTACCAACGTGCCGTGAAAAACCAGGCGGAAGGTCTGGTCAGCTACGTCAGTGCCTACTTTATCCACGCGTGAGTTCGGTCGGTCGACAGATGCCGCCCACGGTACATGAGTATTTTTTTTCTTTTTAGCTGCTTGCAAATTGAAGGAAATTGAAGCCAATTTGTAGCAATCAGCTGTCGTGGTTGAATATATTCTACCGGAGACTGTAGATAGCGTGCTGGTATTAATTTAACGCTCGATGCGTCAACCCGTCTAATTAACCTTCATTATCGTCGTACGTGTCCCAAAGTGGACAAAATAACGTGAAAGCGTAGAAGGAGAGGAAAAAAGGGGCTTCCTTCCGCGCAACGTTTAAAACCGTTGCAGAACAGTGATCTAGCCGCACATCCTTCTATGCAAATTTCAACAACGCGGAAACGGCTAAAAATGGCGCGAAATTTCAAATTCGCGAATATCCATTCGAACGAATTACTTGTTAATTTCGATATATTAGTCGAATTATCGCGATATTGGCGAAAGGGATCGCGAGAATACACGATTACGAGCTCACAGCCGAATCCTGTCTGAATTCTACTTAGATATCAAGGCGCGCGTCGCGTTAGACACCGATCGCGGCTATCGTATTCTTTCGCGCGTTCAGATTTCTGGTTCACCTCGATCCAGATTACCCGAGCAAACCAATGATTCACTTCGATATGGAAATAGCTAACGCTAAATAATATATTTAATAACCTTGTCCGCCGTTGAAACGCGATAACTCTCTTCGAACCGGGGACAGACGTTACGTAAACGACACGAAAACGTCTTTGGATTATGCCACGAGTTCCACCTCGGGGTCACTTCGAATATTCGAGGACCTCGAATTTACCTCGTTTCCAACGAGTATTTCGAATAAACGCGAATTCGAGTGGACGCGGAACGTTCGGGGACGAAAAACACGGACGCGAGTCGCGTCGGAGCGTTGCGAAATAACGTAACAGGTTCAAGGTCGTCTCAAGGTCGTTCCAAAATTACACACGCGGAACGATAGCTCGCGGATCGATGTCGACGGAGAATGTGGAAGGAAAATAAAGAAGGAAAACAATGAATGCAAGTTACACCGCGATTTCAACGGCTCGAGCTCTCAGAACGGAAGGAGGGAACGCGTATCAGCGGAATCTGTTCAAACATTTACCCTAAGAACGATTGTTTGAGCCCCTTTGTACGCTATCACGTCCGATGTGTGCTGAGAAAATAGCGCGACGCTTACGGTGGATTATCGAGCGATGCTCATCGGCCGGGCGCAGTCGAATTCCGCGAAATCAGAGTCGACGACGACCTTGAAACCACGTCCTCGACATTCGCGGTGTCTTTTTGAAAACTGCCTTTATTTACCGGCAGAGTCGACGAGGAACGCAACGATCGACGTCAGGATTAATCTCGCGAAACGAGACCCATCTCGTCCGCCGGAAGTCGCTGGCTAAAAATGGTCAGCGAAATCCGCACGAAAGACGAGCAAACCGCGATGCACGTTTATGCGATCACGGTGGCAGATTAAATTCTCCGCCGTTTCATCCAGGTTTACGACAGCCCGCGCTTCTCCCGCTGGTCGAACGTCAAAGCACGTCCACGCTCGGACGAAATTTACACCGGCATCCGCTTTTCTCTTTTTCCACCGCGGCGCCGACCTCGCTTCCAAAGGGACCTTCGTTACGTTCGCGAAAAATCGCGAAAAAACGGAAAAATCGGGAAAAAGGCGCGGAAAGTCGCGAAAAAACGAAAAAATCGGAAAGAAAGTGCGGAAAGTCGCGAAAAAACGGAAAAATCGTGAAATGGCGGAAAAATCGGAAAGTCGCGAAAAAATTGCGGAAAGTTGCGAAAAAATTGCGGAAAACTCATAAAGCGCGGAAAATCACGAAAAAGCGGGAAAGTGGGGAAAATCGCGGAAAACTTGGAAAAATTGTGAGAAAAACGAAAAAATTGGGGAAAATTCAGGAAAATCATGAAAAGTCGCGGAAAAGGAGTGGAACGTTGGTCGAAGGCGTCGACAACGTCGCGTTCTCGTTTCGACAAGCGAAGATTGTTTGCTTTGATAACACGTCCGTTATCACCGTAACGATTTAAAACCGTTATCCGCGTTATTTCGCTGGAAAAGGAAATCTCGACAACGCGAAACGCACGGCGTATATTGGCACCGGCTGCGTTTCAATTGCAGGCCAATCGAAATCGATCGGTTGGCAGAATTAAAAGAACGACGGGAGCACAGTCTGTCTTCGTTTCGGGAAGTATGCGAGTGCGTCTATATATACGCACGAGATACAAAACGCTCGTTGAGGTAGAAACAGGATGTTGATAGAAATGCAAAGAGAGCAACGATGATGAATACTCCGACAGAGTAAGGCCAAAGGTCAGATACGTATACGAGTACACGAATCAACGTCGTACAACTCGTTCGGGGTTTTATTAGAAACATAAACAAATAGTATTTTACACTGATCCATTGGAATCGTTTGATGGAGGGTTACACGTTATCTCGGACCTCCGTAGCTTCGTGTTTTCTCCGAACATACACCTCTCTCACGCACCATCGATCATCGATTTATATTTACAACTCTTTCTCGCTTCCTCTCGCACACTTTCCCCGCTCTCCCCTTTTCTCTCTCTTTCCATTTCGAGCTGGCAAAATTCCAAATCAGCGCACACGCGGATCACCCATAGGAGACATCAAGGTTCGCGCGAGTTCTTCGACTATGGAGTCCCATCGTTGGTCTTCGCGCGAGGAATTGGGTTCGCGAGGTAAACGGGAAATCGGTATTTCGATTTCCGATTCGCGTACGTTCCACCGGTGAAAAATCAAGCCACGGCGTCGACGGCGGGAACTTTTCTGTCGCGTGACAAGATGGCGTCCGAAATTTATTCGACGTCCCGTTAATTCTCCGTTTTCCCGGTAGATCGCTCGGCGAGCAACGGAACGTAACGCCATCGGCAGTCCTCGTGCTCGAAACTTGGGCCGATTTCTCAATCCGCCGTCGGTTCGCCGATTTCCACACGGTGAAACTTTTCCATTTGCTGACTTCGCGCGGAGAACTTGGCAACTTTTACCAGCTTTTACTTCGCGCAGGGCCGCGCGGCGAAAAAATATGTGGCCGATCGGGAAGACCGGAAAGGGAAGGGCGAAATCGAGGGGAGAGCCGGTCGCCTCGTTTAAGATTATCGCTCGGAACGATCCGCGAGGCCATAAAGTCGCGTGTGTATCGTGGATTACATTTTTTTCCCCGGCCCAATGGGACGCAGCGATTCGGTTATTACACGGAACATCGATAGGAGAGAAAGAATAGAAAGAGAGAGAGAGAGAGCTGGAGAAAGAGGGTCGCATGAATGCACGGGCGTTCAGAGCGATGCAGCTAGTGCATCGTTCACAAAAGAGCGGGTGTACGCGTGTGCAAAGTAAGCGGGCTGCGAATCACGAAAGGTTTCCGCGAATATCTCGAGTACCACTCTCGTTTGGCACAGGGTCGCCTCCGTTTCAGAGGCTGGAGGATTTGTCGATACCATCAAACGAGTAAGGAGGTTTAATGCACGCTCGAATACACCGTTCTCCCTTTGATGTTTTCCTCTCTTTTCTTCCTTCGTCCCCTTCCTTTCTCCGCTCCTCCACTTTTCTCTTTTTCCCGTTTCGCGTATCTATGCAGAACGTCCATACCGCGCAGTTTTCTCTCGACTTTCACGAAATCTACTCGAACCGCGAGCCCATCCACCGTGTCTTTGCCTCGACGCGCGTATCCCGCTACCTGCGATAGAAACTCAAAGCAAACGACACGAATCCGGGAACAAAAGGCATAGACGTAAGGTCGCGACTCCTCCGAGACGGAGAGGCAATCGTTCTCTTTTAAGGACACTTTCCCTCTCGAGGAGAACGATCGAGAAACTCCATCGCGCTTTCTCGGATTAATCTGAATACTCGCGCGAAACCAAACTAGCATTTAGGAACTCTAGTCATTTCGATTCTCGTCTCTCTCAGTCCCAAGCCACGTCGGATCATCTCGACTCGATCCTCTTCTCATCACCGACGAGACACCGTTCCGCGACAGGCTGTCAGCTGTACGCATCGTGGAACCGATCGACTCCTCGACGATTCTTCCACGATTCCTCCGCGACTTCCGTTACCAGAGGTTACACCGTCGACCAACACCCCCCCAAGATCGTGAGTTCACCGAGGCGTGTTTAACCGCCGATCAACAACCATGGCAGAATCACGGTCACGCAGAGAGCCGCCAGGCAACTGGCACACATTGCCAGCGAACTGGCAGCTGCCTCCGATTCCGCCTCGTTCGTGTAATCCTCGTCACGCTCGAATTCGCGAACTTCGACGTCGCAGCGGAAACAGACCCGGCCGCTCTTCAGTTGCGAGCTGTCCCTCCTCAGCAGCAAGGCCGAGCCTTTCCGCTCGATCTTCCATCCAGGCTCTTGCGTCAGCATGCGAGTCATCCTCCTCTATCCTCCTTCCCTCCGACGATCAGATTTTCCCCCGATATCCAGCGACGATAACGCTCCGCTCTCTTCCAAAATCGTCTGTCCTCCTTTCCACCACTTGCCAACGTCCACCACTGAGTCTCCTCGTCCCGATGTCCACGAGGTCGAGACCCACCAAGGGTTTCCCCAACCTGAAAGCCAAGACAAAGCGTCAATAGGGTGAACGCTTCGCGTGACGGATAGTTTCGACACGTCGCACAATGGTCAAACCGATCCACCAGACGACGGCTTGATCTTACCCCTCCGCTTGCTCTAATTTTCATCAACGATACGCGCAATCTAATCTGGTCAACTCGCAGCCGTGATTCACCGCGCAACGCGTGACACTTATCGACGATGACGTGTGTCCTGATATTTTTCGTCGAGGAACCTCGCTTCTCGATGTTTTCGACGAAACAGCGGACGTAAAGGAAAAAACAAATCAGAGGAAGAATTATGCCTCGAACTTTATCAACGTCGCAAGACTCATCCTTGTTTTCGATTACGCGATCGCGAGCAAGTTCCGATGTCGACGTCGGAGAACCGGAATCCAGGCTCGATCGGAGGAAAGGACAAACAAGTCGAAGAATTATTCATTCCGTTTTATTATCGCGTTACACTCGCGCGATCGGAGACACGTCCCTGTTTTCGCTCACGCGATCGTAAAGCATCGCAGTTTACAAAGATGGCGCTCGATGAGCCCGAACGCGGAATCGATCGAGGGTGGAAAGCGATAAGAATTGAAACAAGGGAAATTTTATCATCGCGGTATTCCGTGGAGGCACGACGTTGATTCGAAACTCGGCTGGCAGCGAGGGACTCGAAGCCCTCGTTACATCGGAATCGCGGATAATACGAAAACACGATACGCAGGGTTTGCGCGGCGGCTTAATGCGGCCATTACGCGGGAACGAAACTACGAAATTCTAGTCGCGACTGGAGATTTAGCCAGCAGGTGCTTCGGATTTATGAGCATTTAATACGCAGACACACCGATGCCGCGGGCGCTCCATCAACTTGCTGCACGGGGAGAAACGAGAATTAATCGAAGCAACTTCAGCTATTCCAGCATAGCTTCCGAGGGCAGAGAAGCAAGTTGACTGCTAAACCAACCGAAACTCGCGCCGCCGCCCGGTCCACGAAACTTTCCTCGCGATTCCGTGCACGTGATACCCCGCGATTACAACGCAAACATCGTTCGCCGGGAAGGAAATTGTTAACCCGACAACAAGGAATCCGCTGGCCCGGCGTCAACATCGTTCGCAAACATTTGCCCGGTCGTTTGCCTCTTAATCGAACGACGGATGCGATAAAATTGATCCGTCCGCGGAGCGGAGCTAGCTCCGACTAGAACGGCCCGGACGATTTAGGAGGCGAGCCCGGTGCCGCGGATTCGTGAGAGAGTAATAAATCTGCGGGAGAAAATAAGAGCAGGTACGCGCACGGAGCAAGTTGCTCGTTCCTCGGGAGAAACGAACCATCGATAATAAGCCGTGAAAACTGGTCAAGAGGTATTAAGTTCGGAGAACTTTCATCGGCGCGACCTTCCTGCCGCGTTCTGCATCGGGCTTTGCCCCAGTTTCGCCTCTTGGCCGGCTATTAGCGGCGATTAGACGGAGTTTAAAGCAGCGTCGAGTTGGAAAACAGGCTGGGGAAAAGCCTGCTCTTTTCCCTCTCGCTCGCTGCGAATTGACCGAATAATCCGCGGCCACGTAGATCAATCGTTGTCGTCACGCGTCATCGTTGTCTCCGGCTACGAGGTCGCTCGATCAACGATCCACGAAGCGGCGTGTACTCTCGGCAACGATACGCGAAATGCTCGCGTGCGAGAAAACACAATGGGTTGCTGACTAAACTGCGACCAACGATCGAGCTTCTGGTCGACTCTAATAATAGACGTAGCAGTGAACTTTGCTCGTTCAATCGATCGCACGCAGTCGCTATACATTCTTCCCTCGTCCCGGATGAGGTAGACAAACGAGAACGTGTATCTTTGCGAAAATTTTGCCCATTTTCGCGACGTCGCGACGATCCCACGACCGATCGGGAGGTACCGGGTACGGGGTAACGCGAGCGTTGTTACGCTCCTGGGGAAATCGAGAAACGAGAGAAAAAGGGGATAAGCGGGAGATGCATAAGAAATTCCATTATCGGTCGAAACGGAGGAAATGCACGCCGGGATGCACTCGCAGGTACTTGGTCCAGCTCGCGCGTGCTTTTGTTCGCCGCTCGTGCAAGGACGTAACGAGATTCAGGTACAACGACGCGCTTGACTGGTATACGCGGCCAGTTACGTCACTGCAGGCTCGATTCCACGGCAGGAGAAAGGGTGGAGGAGAGAAAAAATAGACGCGGACTGATTACAAACGTGGAACGCTAATTACTCGAAAACACAATACGGGAACGCGATATCCTGCCGGTGCACGCGCGCGTTCCGCGCTTTAATCGGATCAGCTTATCGAATATCGGTTTTAAAACGGGCCGCCGAGATATCGCAATTATTAACAACTACGCGAAATTCATAATTCGATGCATCCCGCGAAATTTACATAACGCGAGAACCGAAGATATTTCGCAAACGTGCATAGACCGTTCCGGGATCGCGTACGTGTTTTAACCCTTCGTTATTAACGCTAGATTTACGGACGATGTCTGTATTCCTATTTCTAAGGACACCTGTCAAATTGACAGGTAAAGGAAACCACGTGCCTTTCTTTTTAACGATTAGTTTAATTTAAAAACAATTATATATTATATTAACAGTCTTAACCCTTTGCACTCGGCGACTTTTTGGCTAGAGAAGAGTAGAAATTCAAAGATTCTCTACTAAAAAACTGACGATACTTTTTTGAGCAGTAAATAAAGAGTTGTATAATAATAGAATTGTAGTATTATTCGATTTCGATATCTCGCAAACTGTTACATTACATTAAATTTGATATGTGAATTAATATCGATCTTCCAAATGTTATGAAATGGCGACTGAAGGTTACCTCTCGAATGCAAAGGGTTAATATAAGTTAACTAAATCTGTTGCCATCGTATAATTGGAGAAATCATTCCGTCAAATTGACGAGTTCCGTAAATCTAGTGTTAAATATATATATATAGGTATCGCGTTCTAAAAATAATAAACTTCCAAGTTTGTAAAAAAAAGATTGACACTTTTATTCCGTTTGCGGGTTCTTTGCTTCTGCCCGAATATTTAGTTCGCCAGAGCGCGGCCAGAGGGTGGGAGTGAGTTAATCGAACGCAGGGGGCAGCAGCGTCGCGTAGACGCGGACGTTCGGTGCTCAGACACCTCTTAGCCGGTTCTCCCTTCGGGATTATTTTAATCCGTTGGAAAATAAATGGAGCAACGGCGTTCGCCTCGTTTATATGGCAAACTAAAGCGACACGAGGATCGTGCCAAGCCGCGTATACCGTGACAATCTCGGAACGACGGTCTAGAAACGGTCTGCTGATCGTCGAAGCTCGAAAACCGCGCGGCGTTCGTCGTAATCGGAGTTCCGCCATTCCGGAATCTCGAGTGAAATTCCGTATCCGGGTTAAATCTACGACTACCTCGTTCGCTTTTTCCAAAAACAGTTAGAATTTCGTTACACTTGCCTTACCATTTAATTCCCGATGTCGCGTGCCACTGTCGACAGCAACGTCGAACAGGCCGAGACGCGACGAGACACACCGAGCCATTTCGTCCAAACACGGCGAAGAATAACGCGCAACTGAGACAGGAAACGTGGAGCCTGACCAGTATAATGTTTACGTTCGCATAGAACGTTCGAGAAAAGAAGACGCAGCGTGTTTATGACCTCACGACGGATTAACTCCGCTGACACTACCGTGATTACAGACAGTGACTGTTATTGATCGAAGATGGTGACGAAGACTCCCGGTCACCGTTTTCGGCCAATAGCGTCCATTTCCTGCGATCGAGGAAGTATCAGCGGAGTTAATCAGCCGTGAGTGTGTAAACACGTTGTGAATCTTCTCGAACGTGTAGAATACGTTCGATACGTTCGTTCCTATTTCTATCTACGACCCACGTCTCTCGCCCGTGATACTCGTGTTCGACCCAATCGCTCAGGAGTCTCGCTTTAAATTGCGAACGAAGGGCGAATTTCGCTAGAATTTCGCTGGAATTTCACGAAAATTCTCGAGAATTTCGAAATGAATACATCGACGTGGTTCTCTCGTTAGAAAACGTCGCGGTGAAAAACGCGTTGCGTGAAAGGGGACGCTCTAGAAAGTACGTGCGGGCAGAGTGCTCGTTCTTTTCTTCTGGGTCACGGTCTTTGTATCGATAACCTGCCTGTCCGTCTTCGTTTCGAGTAGACAGCGACTTCTCGAAAATCAATAGCCGCTTTCCGGCAATTTAGGAAAGCGGATAAACGTATTCCAAACGGAGCCACTGTCAGGCATCTCGCCGCGATTTCTCCGCGAAGATCGTCGAACCGATTCGTGGTCGAAAAAGGAAACGGGTTTGGATCGAAACCGTTCCAAAGGACGAGGAGCAAAGCTCGAGGTAAGAGGAATACGCACGCGAAGACAATCGCGCTTTAACGAACTTCGAAACCGCGCCGCGGACCGGTCTCTCCTCCGGAGAAAGGAGAAATTGCAAAACGAAAAAGGAGAAAAGAAAAACGCGGAAGAAACACGAGCGAAAGAGAAAAGTTTTGGAAAGCGACAGCCCACTGCGAGGCTCGCCAGTTATATTCGATACGTCTTAACTCCGCGAGCCTCTAATAGCGGTTCTCTGTCAGGCTAACCCGAATTGCCGATTCGGTGACGGCAATTTCGCCAGCTTTTATCGAGCCAACTAATGGTTTCCGGGACGAGGGGAAGAAAACTCGCGGAACGGGACTGGAACGTTCTTCCATCGCTCGAATGGGGAAAAACCTAGCGAAAATATTAACACGAGAAAACGAAGGAAAAACGCACGTGTGCTCTATTTGCCACTCGATATCTCGTGGGTT